TTACCATAATATAGTGTAATTAATACATTACACTATATTATATATTATATAAGAAAATCCCATTCAGATAGTTTGGGAAGAGATATCTTTTTTTTTCATTTTTTCTTCAAACACGAAACAAGAAATGATGGAAAACATGAACACATTTGTTTTCCATTTTTGTCTATCTTGAACTATAGCATTATACGTAGTTCTAGTATGGCACTTTCATCCAACTATTTACATAGTCAAGCTAATGAATCCATGTAGTTAATGTTTAAAATTATATTTTATGTAATTGTAGGCTTGGTAGTTATGCTACAAACTGCATCCTACTGTAGAGGGGACAACCCCCTTCTTGTACCTCATTCTCTTCTAGTCGACTTCCTTCTCTCTCGACATGTTCTCTCCCCTAGATCTAAAACCTCCTCGCTATTCCATGGCCGCCTACCTTCCTAGTTCCTAGACTATCTCAACAGTTAAAATGATGAATGATTCATACTATATTTGTCACTAATCTCCATCTTTTACTTCAATATAATAGTTTTTTTCACAAATTTGTTAATTAAACTTGAAAAAAAAATCGCGTCCGGTCGATCGCAATAGGTTGCTCCGCAACCCAAAAAAAAAAAAAAAAAAAAAAAAAAAGAGACTGTGCCAACTGGGTGCGTCACAAAAAAACGGTTCGCCTCAAACGCCCCAAATCGCAGTTACCAAATGCTGAAGCTGCGAGACAGATATTTCGTGCTGGGCTGGTTGGAATTTGCGATTTGCAGTGCGCCACGCGATGTTTTCGTCAATTCGCCTTGTTCTCGTCAAGCTCGCCTTGGCGAAACCCTAAATTGCCACTCGTGTCCACCCATACGTGCACCTACCGTCCCCAAATCGTAAACGGATCTAGACTGGGGTACATGTACCTTCACATGCGTCGACTGTCCCGGGTTACGGCAAATTCGCGCACCTGTCCTCGCGAAATCAGCGCGAGGTTAAAATCGGGTTACTTTTCGCGAAATGAATTAAGTGTGAAATATTTGGACCCGCCCTTAGTGTTGTAACAGATCGCGCATTCCATACATGCACACACAGGTCCTGAACGAAATTGTACAATAACAAAGCTGTTGTACAAAATTGACAACGCATATAAATGTAGGCGCGGCAATAGTTGCCTTGTAGCACGAGATAAAACCATGCCACCAACTTTCAAGTGCGTTGTCCATTGAGGAGGATGTGGTTGGCAAGAATAGTGTGATCCACACATAAACGGCTTCGTTATTATGTTCCCCGTTGGTTCTCTGCGCATATTGTATTCCCTCTTTATATGAGGCCCGCTGAAATAGTCACCCATGGGTGGCATATGCGGGGGATAGCTTATGATATGATGGATTTTTTAGAGCACCCACTTTTTTTAGTACGAATTATATATAACACCCTCCATCGAGGATTTGTGGATTTTACTGGTCTAGCGCCAATGTTTAATCATTAGACAACAAATTTAACACTAGTCTAAAGCCTATCCGTTGGGCGAGGCATTTCTAGTGCATTTTCGACTACCTAAGCTAGCTACCACTACCATTCACTCAGCACACACTGGTAATCCAACAGCTAGCTACATGTCCTAGCAGGTAAGTCAATAGTTACTCTCTGTCGTTGTCCTCATCGTGGTCCTCTCCTGCATGCCACACCTCGGCATCTACGTCGTCACTAGCGATGTCATCCCAGTCAAAGTCATCAGTCCAGCGGGACGCATCCAGGCCCACCAGAACCTCCGCCGCAGGCATCTCTAGACCTTCGTCACCTTCGGCAGCTGATATCTCCGCCTCTGTCGCTGCTTCTGTAGATGTTGTTGCTGCTGCTGCTGTGCGGACTCCTGGATCCCCAGACGCCTCTGATGCTGGCGCAGCTGTTGCAGCTCCCGTTGCACCGGATGATGAGGCAGTTGCTGCAGCTTCAATCTCAGCCTCGACATCGGGATTGTCTTCCTCCGAGCTGGGCGTGGCGCTCGGCTCCACATATTCCGACTCGTAGTATGGGTTCAGAGCCCCGCTCTCTTCCATTTCGGCATGGACGTCCTCCATGACTTCGACCTCGGTGTTGTCCCACATGTGGGCGAGGATCATTTCGTCCTCCGTGCCGTTGGTTGCGTTGGAAATGCCGCACATCTTGAACGCGCGGCGGATGAGTTCAGCTGGCACCGCGGCCCAGGCGTCGGCAATCCACTGCAGAATGAGCTCGGCTGGCGGCTTGCAAAGATTCCCTGCAGGGGAAAACACAACGACGAGACAGTAGGTGGGGGCTTTAGGAGTAGTGGTGGAGAAATGCAAGGCATGGTTAAAAAAATCACAACGCGGGTAGATGCTTTAAAGACAAACAATAAAGACGTTAGTCACCAACCGGGGTTGTGGACTCGCAGTCGAATTCTTCGAACCACTTGCTGTAGGACCTCCGGACATGCGCCTTGACGCACCGGTTTACCGCCACGTCTAGAGGCTGCACGATGGGCGAGCAGCCGCCGGGGATGACAGCCCTGGACAGCTTGAAGAGCCGCATCAACTGGGACACTCCCTCCATCAGGTGTCCCTTGTACGAATCCCGGATCACCAGAGCCTTCTGATGGCCACCGCGCCGCGAGGGTATCGAGCAGAGAAACGGCACCAGGATGGTTGTGACCCAGTCCTTGACATGAGTCTCGTCCATCCACCCTTTCTCATGGGCCTTGATCACTGTTCCTGCACAAGCGCAAGGTAGGAAACATTAGAGTTCGCCCTGGAAAGACGGCTACGAAAAATATTAGCGGTGGCGGCACAAAAAACAGGCACAAAATCCTCACCGGGCGGGACGCAGATCTGAGGTAGTGTCTTCTGCTTGAAGATGACGTACGGCTTAAATTCTTGCCACTTGCTGTGACGGCCAGCATGACGGTCAGCCTCTCCTTCTTGTAGCCGGCCGTGCGCACATGGACAGTTCTCGAGCCTCGGACTTCGAGTGTGGTCTCCTGCGGCATCTCCAAGAATAGTGGCGTCTGAACTGCGTTGATGATCAGGTCGTCGGGGTAGTCGTTGAGCGTGTGGAGCTGCCGAACGAACTCCCAGAAATTCTCGACCTTCGCGTCACAGTCTGCCAATGAAAATAATGAAAAACAAAAATAGACAAAGCAAAAGTACGGTCAGCAAACAAGGAAGCACGACAAGAGCTAGAGCAGATGACGAGGGCAGGGAGTATTCGCAGCACGTCAAATTACATACATGCAGTCATGCACTGGCGCATCTTCGTCTTCACATGCTTCGTCAGTCCCCAGCGTGCGCGGAACCGGAAGGTCCACCATGACGAGGCGCGCCTGTCGATGCCGGGGTGGTGCTTACGCATATACTTCCGACTCCTCTGGAAGCCGCCGGCTAATCTACGCGAACTTCAGAGTTTCCTGGGGTTTGTGAATTACGTTCATTGTTTCATTCCGAACATGGCGGGGGTCACGTCACCTCTCACGGATCTTCTAACGAAAGGCAAGTTTTATGAGTGGGGGGAGAGCAGCAGGCTGCATTCGAACAACTCAAACTTTTCCTGACTACACCTCCGGTTCTTCGGATTGCACATCCTCACCGTCCGTTCGAGCTCATCACCGACGCTAGCGATCTGGCCGTTGGCGCGCAGTACTGTTACAAGACTTCGGCGAAGGTCTCCAACCCATCGCCTACGAGTCACGGAAGCTGAACCCGGCCGAGCGAAATTATCCTGTCCACGACAAGGAGTTACTCACCATTGTTCATGCTTTCAAAGTCTGGCGCTGCTACCTGACAGGCGCTGATGTGACAGTCCGAACAGGCCATAAATCGCTACAGTTCATCCGCGCCCAACCAACACTGAATCCCCGACAGATTCGTTGGCTTGATTACCTCGAGTCCAGCTTCCACTACAGAGTCACCTACAAACGGGGAGTTAGCAACATCGCCAACGCACTGACCCGCCCTTCAGTCCACACCGCCGCAGTCCTAATTATCCAAGCTAATCCACTGCTAACTGGCCTATTCACCCACGGATACAGTACCGACCCATTCTTCACCACTAACAGTCATCCCAACTGATGGTCAAGCAAGGGCCTATTACTTAAAATCCGGTACCAATCGGATTTGGGTTCCCGCCTAACGTACCCTACGTGAACTACTGATCCAGGAGGCACATGACTCGAACTTCTCGGGTCACTACGGCATCGACAAAATCGCCAAATTACTGAGCCGTAATTATTACTGGCCCGATTTGCCGACAGAAGTGCAGCAGTACGTCAACTCCTGCGCCAAGTGTCGACACATGAAGTCTTCACGGCTTCGACCCGCTGGATTGCTGCAGCCGCTAGAGCCACCCAGCCGACCCTGGCAACAGGTGACGATGGATTTTGTCACTGGCCTGCCAGCTGGTCCTAGCGGTATTGACGCGATTCTTGTCGGCGTGGACCGGTTGACCAAGATGGCCCACTTCGCCGCCTGCAAGACAACGATTACTACGGAGCAGACAGCGAAACTGTTCATCACGAACATCGTGCGGCTATACAGCATCCCTTCGGCAATCATCAGCGATCGTGACCCATGGTTCACGTCTACATCTGTCCACGGTGTACCACCCGCAATCGGACGGTCAGACTGAGCGCACCAATCAGATGATGGAGCAGCTGATTCGCACGGCATCCACAGACCTGGCCCAATGGGAAGACTCCCTTCCCTTGATTGAGTTTGCATACAACAATGCCCCATCGGCCACGACTACTCAGTCCCCATTCTTCCTCAATTACGGGACAGATCCGACAACCCCGCTATCGCCACCGATAGAAAACCCGGCACCAAGATCTCAGCAGTTCGTCGAAAATCTTCGACAGTCTCAGCAAAAAGCAGCTGATGCCATCCTCAAAGCCAACCACAGAGGGCTTGTCACAGGATCGAATGTGTCGAGGAAAGGTTTGCTCAATGTTGCACTATCAATCAATACATTGTGCTTTTATCCTTCCAAGATACATCAGGTAACCAGGTTTATCCTATCCAAAGGAATAGACCCTTCTAGAAATAGAATCACCATGTGTATAGCCACGTGAGGCTATTGGCTTTAAGAGATTACGGCAGGATTACGCTAGATTATAGCGTGCGAGTACATCCCGAGCCTGGTCGGTGATATAATTATAATAACAGGATAAACCAAAGGATAATGAAATGGAGGAATAGGAAACCAAATGAGATGAGATAAAGACCAAATGAATCAGGATAAAAAGAGGAATAAAATAGAAAGGAAATATGGAAAGGGGGAAAATAGTGTAAGCGGGTCGTACTCTCACACTTCCCCCCCTCAAAGCTGGGTGGTGGTAGAAGTAACACCCTGCTGACAAGGTAGTCGCGAAGAGGATGACAGGCGCTTACCCATGTCGAATTCAGAGACCGAGCCTCAGAAGGACCACAGCCCTTCTACCAAAGAAGAAGCTCCAGTGTGCCATTCTGACGACGTCGGTGTCCGATGCACGTAGTTGTCCCATGGCGTGGATGAACACGGCGACAACAGTGGTTGGCATTCGTGTAGAGCATGTTTGGTCTTTCAAGTGGCTGGGTTGGCGGAAGCGGAAGTTGACTGAAGTGACCCTTGCTTCAACAATGATAGACCCGCGGAAGCAAGGTTGAAGTTGGATGGAATATGGCTGATGTCGAGATTATGGTGTGGATAACTGTAGTGATAAGTGTCAAGTGCTTCTGCTATTGTTGGATGTTCAAGATGCTGGACGATGGCAATGAAGTCGGAAGCTAGTTCGACTGTACCAAGAACAGTCTGTTGCTACGGGAGTGAGCAGGCTCTGCCATAGTAAGGAAGGATGGTGTTGTATCGTAGTCAGTGATATATGGGCAGGTGCAAGTTGTTGTGAAGACTTGAGTGGTTGGAACAGTGTGGATGTAACGTGCAGATGAATGGCTACGTTGTCTGTTCTGTGCATGCCTGAACATCACTTGCATCTCGTCCACGCCTGAAGATCACCAAGTGGTGGTGGTATGGTAGTCGTGCCGTAGTACTACTTCTGTAGCAGTGTTGTATCCATTACATGCAGCTTCTGTCGAATGCTGGTCCATGCCGTAGTGTTGTCGCGAGTCGTACCCACTCGGCATCGTAGTGCTGCAGGAATGGAGAGCAGAATCACTAGTAGTAACTCTGTCCACTACGCGTCTGCTAGTCCACTGCCTTGAGTACAGCAGCGCATGCGAAGTGCTGCTCAGCGTATCCCTTGTGCTCAGAACCATGCGAGGGTTGGTACCACAAACGCGGAGCTGGTAACTTCCAGAATCGGTGCCGACGTAGTTTCCCTCGGTGGTTGATCAAGCAAGGAATCTCAATTGTATAGATATCCTACGGTGATGGGTTAGGATACTTGGGAATATTAGGGCTATTCCCAAATAATCCTCTCCCACTTCCGAATGGGAATTGCTGATAGCCAATCCAGAATGACCCTTATGCACTTCCAGTTTAGCAAGGAGACCTTCGGTAGGCATCGGTGTCTGGGCGCACATATTGGGATAGATCTTCTGGGGCCATCATGTATTGTCTTATTCTGTTAGTGTCCTTGAAGTAGCGTTGATGTCGACGACGTCTCAGCTACTCCAGCATCAGTGTTAAAGTCTGCTCCATTTCGGCAAACAGGGTGTTGTTGGAGATACGCGGAGTCCCCTATCCGGAGTGGCGTCGGCGCTCCATTTTACCGCCCTATCTGCTTCCTTGGAGGTGGTGCTGGTGATGGATTGGTTGCGACGCAGGTTTTATGATTTAAAGGAAAGCCATAGCCATGGGGACTGTATACCGCAGAGTACCGTAGTCCTTCCATCCTCATTCGTGCCGTATAATTTCTGCTGCATTCGTGCCGTTGATTTCGCACCAATCGACGATCCACGTTCTCCTGTCAGTTTTCTGCTTGCAGCTATTACCAAGTAGGTAATACTCTGGCAGATTTCTGACTCTGTAGATGAATTTGCGCGCCATATTCGTCACCAAATGAAGGATTTCGATTCGGGTTGTCCAGATGATGACAGCGGTGTCGAAAGCGGCTGATTTCTGGTTCTGCGCGTCATTCTCCCTTTGTGCAGAAGTCGCGCTCCATCTCGTCCGTTGAAGTAGAGTTGATCCGACGGTCCAGAATCCAAGCGACCTGAAGATATTCCTGAGACCCGTTCAGCAGCTTTCAGTGCACGGGTTAACTCGTTTCCTGCAGCAATTCTCGTTCGTCGATGTTGGCTGTCGAACGATCCAACGCTCCAAAGAATTTCGCGGCTAGCGAGGTCCCGTTCCCATTCGCGTTGAAACTCGAACTCGCTCAGAAGGATTTCGTTTCGCTTCGGTCGATCCGAAGCGTCGAATCTCCATCGGACGGATGTCGTCGGTCGAAGCTCCGCAGATTTCCGCCGCAACTCCAAGTGTTGTCACGAACTGCGAACCCTCGGAATATCGCAGGGAGTGTTCCGCCAGAAGTGACGCGTTCGCGAGGTCAATGCCGTTTGCCCCCGCGAAAAAATCGGCTCCGTCGATGCAGTCCATCGAACGGTTGGCGAGGCATCTCGCCTTTGATAGGGACCCCAGGTGCAACTGCGCTAGGTTAGTCGAATCTTAAACGAAAGTGCATTGTACTTACAGGAATTGAAGTTTCGACTCCATCCTCGGTGTGCTCCTGGGGGCCCAGCGGTTAAGCGTTGAGCTGAAACCTTGGCTTGATTACCAAGTGTCACAGGATCGAATGTGTCGAGGAAAGGTTGCTAAATGTTGCACTATCAATCAATACAAGGTGCTTTTTATACTTCCAAGATACATCAGGTAGCCAGGTTTATCCTATCCAAAGGGAATAGACCCTTCTAGAAATAGAATCACCATGCGTATAGCCACGCGCGGTTATTGGCTTTAAGGGATTACGGCAGGATTACGCTAGATATAGCGCGCCAGTACATCCCGAGCCTGGTGGGAGATATAACTATAAACCAAGTGATAATGGAAATGGAGGAATAGGAAACCAAATGAGATGAGATAAAGACCAAATGAATCAGATAAAAATAGGAATGAAATAGAAAGGAAATATGGAAAAGGGGAAAATAGTGTAACGGGGTCGTACTCTCGCAGGGCTAAGCTGTTTGACGAAGGAACGCTAGGAAGCCATGAAATGGCGTGAGGGTTTAGCTAGGAGAAAGTTCCGAGAGAAAAAGAGGTTGAGAATAGAAGAGAGAGGGATACAAGGAGGGGGGTTGTACCCTTCACAGTAGTTTCAGTAACACCTACCAAGCCTACAATTATATAACATATATACATAATTTAACATAAAGCAGCAAGCTGACCGACAACGCCGAGACCTAACTCTTGCCCCAGGGCAATTGTGTCATGAAAGCTAGGTAGCTAGGAACGGAAGGAAGCCATGGAATGGCGTGAGGGTTTAGGAGCTAAGAGCTAAGAGAGAAAGTTGACAAGAGAAAAGAAAGAAAGAGAGGCGTACAAGGAGGGAATTGTACCCTCTACAGTAGAGTTCGATAAAACATACCAAGCCTACCAATTATATAACAAAATATATAATTTAACAAATTGGTCATGCTCGACACTAGAAATTGGGAATTCCCCTCCCAAATAAATTACGACCAAGATTTTGCAGCCCATTCCGCAACATCCGCATGGTGACACCAGTCACCGCCCAGCTGCAACTATCGGCCGACTGGCGAATTCATGATTCATTCCACGTCAGCCTCATGTGACCGTTCGTCCCGAGTACGACTAATCTCGACCGTCCACATATCAATCCTTCGGTTAACCCAGTACCTGAACCGACGATCGAGCCATCCAAGATTCTCGCTCATCTTATACGAGGCCATCGCGATACAGCAACCGTTGATTTCCTTGTACCTGTCAAACATATTCTAGTATATTGTTGTAGACTATATAAGGTTGTGCCTTAGAGAGTACAACCCACTAGGTTATATTCCCTTGTACTCACCCATTCTAGTCATTCTATCATTCGAACATGGTATCATGAGTTAGGTTAGGTCCCACCCGCCCACGAGCGCTTCCGCCATAGGTCCTAGCCACCGGCCCGCCCGCGCCGGCCCGTTCTCCCTAGCCGTCCCGCGCCCCTTAGCCGGCCGTCCCTCCCCCGTGCCCGTAGCCCGGCCCGTCCGCGCCCGTCCCGTAGCCAGCCCGTCCCCGCGCCCGTCCCTTAGCCGGCCCGTCTAGCGCCCGCGCCCGTAGCCCGGCCCGTCCCGCTCCCGTAGCCGGCCCGCGCCCGCGCCCGTAGCCGACCCCGTTCCGGGCCCGCCCTGCAACCGGCCCGGACCCGCGCCCGTAGCCGGCTCGTCCCGCGCCCGTCCCGTAGCCAGCCCGCGCCCGTCACGTCCCGTGCCCCCGCCCGCCCCTGTCGCCGGCCCGTCCCGTAGCCCGGCCCGTCGCCGTCCCGTAGCCGGCCCGTGCCGGCCCGTTCCGCACTGCCGGACCCCGTCGCCCGCCGGCCCCATCGCTCAGCCGGCCCTGTCTCCCAGCCGGCCTCTGCGGCTCCTGCACTGCGCTGCACCGCACCCCACCGCGCTGCACCGCGCCTTGCCCCGCCCTGCACCACACTGCACTACACCGCACTGCACCGCCCTGCACCGCACTGCACCGCTCTGCACTGCAACGCACTGCACCGCTCTGCACCGCACTGTACTGCACTGCACCCCGCTACTTCCCGCCTACCGCCTCTTTGCCATTGCGTCACTCCTGATGGCGGACTCTGTGATGTGCTTTGACGCGGAGGGTCAGCCGATCGAGTTCGACACGTAGCTCATCGACCTCCGCCGTCACCTCATTGGTCAGCGGCAGGACAGCCACTCCTTGGCCGTCCACATCGACGGTATGCTCCCTTGCCCTGACCCCCCTGCTGCTCTGCCCGCTGACCCCACGTCTGCTGACCCACGTCTGTTGACCGTGAGTCCGCTGCTGCCCTTGCCCGTGCAGTCTGGTTGTCGCGTGACGCTGTCGCACAGCTTGCAATCAGTCATGCCCTCCCCCTATCTGAGCG